GATATTTTTTCCCGAAAATATGTATAATGTACTGCAGTATTGATCGGTTTGTTTACAGTCTGCTACAGACAACAACGTAAGACGACAACGCCACTACAGCAAATGATTAGGTTCGTTTTATATGTTTCGTAAATATGGTAACAACACACTTCATTTAAGTTTATATCGCTTCGTCCAAATAAAAATACTTTTAAACAAGACTACATAAAATTTACTTGCCAATTACACTTATTATATATTCATAATACAGCTTTTCTTTCAAAAAGAGATAAAGAAAAACATTCATTAAAACTACTTTCAACTTGGTTATTTCTTAGTCTCATTTGCTAACTGAAATAATAAATCATAGTTAATTAAACCGATCTCTATCTGCAGAGAAAATTATTGAATTGTATTGTATGCTCAACTAATTCCTACTGTAATTACTTCCACCACCGAAGGACAGAGGTTATGTTTTCACCCCTGAGGGTATGTTTGTCAGCAAGATTTCTCAAAAACAGCTGAATGAATTTGGACGAAAGTTGGCATACATTTGGACTATGATCAAACGAAGAAGTAATCAGACTTTTGAGGGTTAAGGTCACAAATATCCAAAAAATCCCTATCTGTTAACATGGAGATCGATGTTTCATACAATTTTTGCTCTATAACCCAGTCAAAAAGGATCTGATTTTCGTGAAACCTAGTGGACATATGTATAATATTGTTACGACAGCGGAAGTCACGTGACACTAGTAACACGTCATATTCTCGAAGGTTCGTGAATGCTCGAGTGTTTACTAGATATGTGGTATTCATGTATATAAGACCGGTAAGATGTGACGGCAACAATGTAATTGAACTGCAGACAGAGAGAGACTGACAATTGAGTCGAGCACGTGAGTCGTTGTTGTGAATTATAGCGTTTGTTATAGCGTGACTGTGGAAATTAAGTGTATTGCAAAGTTGTATTCAGAAAGAATAAACCAGTTTTATTTAAGAAAGGACTTGTATCGCTAAAGTTTCTTCGGAAAGAATTTTTAAGTGGTCCATCAATGAAGGAGTCAAATATGGCGTGAGAGATCATCCTGGTATGGAAACTTTTTTGTTATCTAAGTCAAACTCATTTGTAAATCTTTAGATCATTTTATTATGTAAGTAGATAATCTTAGTGCATCAAAAGTTTCTTTTTGATATATAACTAGTTCTGAGAGCATGCACATAATATTAAGAGGCACATGTACATTTGATACTCTCTAGATTAGAAATTCATCATATGCTCACACAGTTCCTTCATCTGTAGAGAAAATAGAACAGTGGTTAGTTTCCTTTTGAGTCATGTTTGAGTTGTTAGTTAGAAGTGCAAGTTACCAGTGTTACAAAGTTCTGAGCTGACTAATATGATTATGTTTTGAAAAAACTAACCTCGTTCGTGGTATTTTAATGTTAATTTATTCTTTGTATTAAAACTCAAACGTTTAACATCCTCTAAAATCATCTTAGTTTCTTTATAATGTTTTTCAATCATTTTGATTTATTGTGCTTCTTCTTGTGTAGGTTCAGCATTATCTAACAGATAATTGTGTAGGTTAAGCTTTATCTAACAGATAATTGTGTAGGTTCAGCATTATCTAACAGATAATTGTGTAGGTTCAGCATTATCTAACAGATATTTGTGTAGGTTCAGCTTTATCTAACAGATAATTGTGTAGGTTCAGCGTTATCTAACAGATAATTGTGTAGGTTCAGTTTTATCTAACAGATATTTGTGTAGGTTCAGCATTATCTAACAGATATTTGTGTAGGTTCATCTTTATCTA